CCCCACAGGAGCGCACGCACACATGCACGCGCACGCGCACGCGCATGAGCGCGCGCGCGCGCGCACACACACACACACACACACACACACACACACACACACACACACACACACACGCACGCACGCACGCACACACACATACATCAAGCCCCCTCACCAGCGCCAGCAGCTGCCTCTGGCTGACCCCCAGGTCCATGTCCAGCGCGGCTGCCCCCTCCCATAGCCGCTCCAGGTGCTGCGCAGCAAACACCACCACGCCGCGGTGGACCCGCAGCCCCTCCCACACGCCTGCGCACAGGTCGGCGGCAGTGCGGCCTCGTGGTGGGACCAGGGTAGCGCCAGTGTGCCTGTGTTGCTGCACTACACGGCGGCCCCAGGGCAACGGCCTGTCACGTGCAGGTTGGGCGGGGTCCTGCATCCCGCATGCCCCACCCCTGCTGCTGCTGCTGCTGCTGCTGCTGTTGTTGGTTCGAAGGGCGCACCGTCCCCCAGCATGAACCCGCTGTCCAGCACAGAGACCTTGGCCTGGGGGCGGGTTGGGTGGGGTGGGGCGGGGCAGGTTTGAAGGAGGCGGCTGGCAGTAAAATCTCGGCAGAGCGGTGGACTGCTGGATGCTTGGCCCTCAACTGATCCTGGCAACACGCCCGTGTACACCTAACCAGACACATCCCATTCCCATCAGGAATGTGGCTGGTGGTGGCACCACCACCATCGACCGCACCACCGGCTGCCGCTGGGCCCCTGGCAACCCCAATAGCCACACAAAAACGAAGGATGCCAACCCTAGCACACACACAGACCTGTGGCCGCCACAGCAGGTCGAAGGAGTCCAGCACGCCGTCCCTCACGCCCACCAGCACGTCCGCGTTGCGCGCGTCACCCGCGTGGGCGTGAGAACCCCCGCTCACACCCCCCACCGCCTTGTCCCCCGCTGCCGCGCCCCCGCCGCCGCCGCCGCCGCCGCCCGCGCCCGCGCCCGCGGGCGGGGCGGAGCCGCTGATGGAGGCGCTGCGGTTCGGTGGCCCCGGGGCAGCCAGCTGCAGCGGCGCGGCGGGGCCGGGCGCTGCGTCCGGGCGCAGGGCGTGCGCGCGCAGCAGCTCGAATGACGCCCAGCACTCTGCCAGCAGTGGCTTGAGCCTGTCTGGCAGGGGCTCCCTGGTGTCACGGTACACGGGGTCAAAGCCTTTGGGCGAGGGGGTGAGGGTGTGGATGACAGGTTTGGTGGTGGGGTGAGGGAGAGGGTACATGGTGACGGGGGAGGTGGGGGCGGGGCAAAGGGGGAAGGGGCGCCATGTGGGGTAAGGGTGGGCGTGTGTGTGTGTGCAAGTCAAACAAGACTGTCAATACGCGTGTGAGTGTGGTGGTGTATTGCAGGCAGGTTGGGGGAGGGGTGGCTGTCACGAGATCCGTCCAAGCAGCCTAAACTCCGCCACAGAGACGGCCCCGGCTGCCCCCCGCAGAGACGGCAACGCAGCCGCACCTGTCCACACTGCCGCGCCCTGACGAGCGCGTTCGGGGCAAACGCCCCCGCACCGGCCTCGCACCCCGCACCACCCTTGACGCTGCGTCGCCGTCACCCCGCAGCCACACACCCACTCCTCACCCGTGCTCTTGTGGCTGCTGCTGTACCACCAGGGCGCCCACACCCCGTCGTAGGGCTTCGGCCCCGGGGCCCAGTGCAGCATGGAGGGCTGCCAGGACAGGTCCAGGGCGGAGCACAGCGCCCTCAGCACGGCCTCGGGTGACCTCACCAGGTCGTCACTCAGGATCACCA